ATATCAAATTATATGTCATGATAGCATAAAATATTTTATCTTTTTAGAACATATCTATCAACATTTTATTATATCCTATGTTCAGTTTATATATGTTTATTATGTTTTATATATTTTATATAATATTATATATATCTTATATTTAGATTATCTATGTTTATAATTAGAATGAGAGAGAGAGAGAGAGAGAGAGAGAGAGACTATGTTAGATTAGATTAGATTATATCTATGTATAAATCTCTCACACACATTTAAGGAAGCTTAGAACACTGAAAGTAAAAGGATATAAATTAAAAATTACCTATGTACACTTAAGATTGCAATGGGTGCAAACCTAAATACAACACATATAATAATGACAATAATAATGATACATTATTCGTTTCTTGTAAATCGAAACAAAATTTGTTGCTACCCTTATGGAAGTCTATGGATGTCTCGTTCTACCAAGGAAATTATTAAGGGCGAAGAAATGCTAATTAACGCAGTTGTGAAAGAGATCTTAGTGCAAGGGGTTAGTCGAAGCAATCCTTCGGAAAGATTTTCCTCTGAAATTTCTGGACTCTACGGAATTTAGAGAGGGAGATAAATCTTTCTAGAATCCGTGAATATTTAGTTCTTGGACCCTAATGTCTGCTAACACTCGAAATAGCCAGGATTCTGTTGATTCTCGCAGATATCAGGATCTTGGACCACCCTTGTCGTAACACGAGGCACTCAATGTGTCCAAGCTCGAGCAACCTTTACGACAAGCATAGGTGAGAAGCGCTTTGCTTCAGGTGTCACGGACGGACTGTTCTAGAACGGACTATAATTACTATAATTCAGGAACACAGAGAATGCTAGCAATAGTGTACTCATTAAATTTAAGATAACGATTAAATAAACTTCTCGACTCAAACACACGCTATAATAAAAATGGCAAAAGATTTCGCATAGAAAGTCTCAGATGTGACCCTCACCGATACCAATGAAATTTGATAGGGCGACAGTCACAACTGTAAAAACTCGCCGATAAATTCGGTCTGGTCATTCTTATAAAACAACACGCATCAATCACTTTTATAACTCGGTAGGTTTGGTGACGACTTCGACGCAGTCATTTCAATCCCTGACTGGACGATCTCCATCTTTGTTCTAGAGGCTAAATGTTCGCAATGTAAAGAACGTCCCAACAATACCGATTAATTCGTGGCAGAGACTGAGGCCTCGTTTAAAGATTGTCCTGTGCCACCCATTCCCTGTTATTGTGAAGGACTTGAAGGATCTTATCCTTGTGAATCCTCGCCCCAGAAAGAGAATCCAGGAAGACGTCCTGCAGCACCGTGGCCCGCGAAGCACGTGCCGTTTGATTACAAAGACGGCAGTAAATCCACGGGGCGGTAATTCCTCCTCTGGCAATTGTAGATAAAACTTGAATAAGTCATAGACTTAATTTAACTCGTGGTACCGGCCAACGACGCCCAGAGTCTTCCACGGAGATTTCTTAATTACGTGCGGGGACTTGGCGAGGGCGTGGGGACGGAACAGAGACGGATAGAAAGAGAGGGGAAGATAAAACCGAAGGGCGTTGTATCGGCTAAAGAAAGAAAGAGAGAGAGAGAGAGAGAGAGAGAGGGGTAGCAGAGGTTGGAAAGGGTTCTCGTTGCGGCAAGAAGATTTAGAAATTCTTGATGGGAAGAAAGTCGCCCTTACCACGGTGATAAAGCATTTCTTTCAGCAGCGCTTTGTCATTTTTATCGTAATTATTTACGAGTTAATTACTCGGGCCGCCTCGCGAGCCCCGACCACGTTGCTTGCTGCCTTTACACTTTCGAACGGTGACCGTTCTATTAATCAACGCTCTCCCCGAGAATTACACCGGGCATTTATCTTTGCTTTCTTTCGATGATAGAACAAAGTAAGCGAGTGGCTCGGCATCTGCCACGCGCACGGAGGCGTTCGGTAATGCGAAGGGAAAATCATGAAAACGGGAAGCGCGGGTTCGTTCTGCTGAAAGTTACCGTGATCAACTCTAAAATCATGGTAAAGGGAGGAGAGATCTCGATGGAAGGGGCCGAGCCGCACGGTCTGTCGAATTTTAAGCCTGTATAATTTAACACCTTCGCCGGCAGAAACTAAGAGAAACCGGTGGTGAAGGGAACAGCGGAGCTAGAGATACGAAGTTTAAAGTTTTCAACGGCACTTACCTATCCTAGCGGCATCTCGCGTTCCCCGCGGTGCCTTCTATCGTTCCCGCGAGTACTCTCCCTCTCGTTCCCGTAAATATGGTTCGCAGACAGAGACGACTAAAGACCGAGACAAACGGCGCGCGGAAAGAAAGGGAACGGAAACGAGGATATCGAGAGGGAACAGACGGCAATGACAAGACCGCCGCGACGCGACCCGCAATGGTACCTTTGCCAAAAAACTGGTCACAATTCGTAACCTTAGGCGATTTTCATGAGAATCAGAACTTTCGTGTTTTTCAGATGGCTGAATTTGTACGTGTTATCAAAAATGCAAAATTCAAAATGTATAATCAGACATTACTAATATGAACACTGGTTTTAACTTATTTTTTTGGACATCAATAATTTTCCGATATTTGGCTAGAATTATATAATTAAAGTATAAAATTTAATGTGATCGTCTTAATTTCAACTCTTTAATATTGTTAACGAAAAACGTTGACAGCTAATACTTTAAACTTAAACTGAACTATCTGAACATTGAAATTATACAGCTGATCAAATTGACCGATTTCGTATATTTTATTTTGAGGTTGTTGAAATTGTAAGGCCACTTTCATAGAAAACGATTAAATAAATTTCTTATATATATAATCCAAGCTTACATTGTAATATAATGAAAAGTCTAAATAAATTCAGCTTTGTTATCGTTATGAGGTTACACAAATGGTTTCATTAAGAAAAAAGAACTTTAGCATGTTGAAGATGTTACCATTTTTAAGACATTACAAAGTACGAGCATTTGTCAACTTTAACGATCATCTCATTGTCAGTAACCAGCTACGATGTTTGAAATTTGTAGTTTTTTGCTATTATGTACTTCGAAAATTGTATGGTACCCAACTTTTTGGGAAAAGGTACCACTGTGCGACGCGACACGGCGTCGACTTAGTCGAGTTAAGCCAAGATACGACTTGGTTCTTCTGCTCTTTTGTTCCTCGAGAAAAACCGTAAACTTCGAAAGGGAACGAAGGGTGCCAGCGCGAGAACAAGAGCGCCGCATCCAAAGCGAATTCGTTAGCGGCATCAACCCCTTTCACCTGCTAGAGCGTTTCCCACTTTCGAGTTTTAAGTCACCGCACCGTCGTGAATAATTGTTCAAATCAGATTAAGTCGCTGCCTGGTCGATTGATTGCGAATGTAATTATGAGAACACCACTACCTTTCCCTCTTCCTACGCTGCTCTGCGAATTTCCTGGCGATTGAAGCGATCCCAAGATTGTTCACGCAGAAAAAAATTCATTTGCGAATTCGACTGTTTTATAGTAACCATGTTACGGTTTGACACACAACCTTCTATAGCTCAGTGTAACTATGACGTCACATACTGATTCATCATGTTTTTTTAGTTTCATTCTTGGTGACAATGTGACAAGAGTATCTTGTTTTGTTGTTGCGAATTACCCAACACATCAAGATGGATTTAGCCCCTTGCCGTATCATTTTCTTCGCATAATGATTAGAGATATAATAATTAGAGCTTTTTCCATCGTAAAATTTCCTAGAAGAAACAAAAAAATATATTCATTGAGTTCCTACGTTTACTTGAATTTTTAGATATTGATTAAAAAGAGAACTGAATTTTATTCAAACTTAAGACAACGTGTTAATCTTTTCGTAAATTATGAATTCCTAGTTACTTTATACAGGGTGTCCCCAAAAATTTGTCGCAATCCAGAAATGGGAGGTTCCTGAGTTCATTTGAAGTAACTTTTTCCTTAGCGAAAATGCAATTCGCGGCTTTGTTTACGAGTTATTAGCGATAAACAGTGACCAATGAGAGACGTGATCAGCTGTCGCGAGATGGTTGAGCCAATGAACGAAACCGAGCTTCGTGCGCTCGTATTTTTCGTCCATAACTTGTAAACAAAGCCGCGGATTGCATTTTCGATAAGGAAAAAGTTACTTCAAATGACCGTGGGAACCCCCCATTTCCGGATTACGAGACATTTTTGGGGGACACCCTGTATCTAGAAATTGATACTTGCTGATTTCGAGTTACTCGTACGCACTCGACGTCAATTTTTTGAATTTCCAGGTTAGGTTCTTTGTAACTAGTAATTAAAATCTAATCGCGTCGTTTCTTGAACAATTTACTACTATTAGTTCGTCTCTGCTCTCCACACTGAATGATTTCCCTAATTTATTTTCATTTCTGGTTCTTGATAACCGGAGAATCAAATCTTGTTTCGATTTAAAAGAAATGACTACCATTCATATTTAACCCTTTGCGGTCGAAACTATTTGAATTCGAAATCCAAAACATGATTTATGATCTACAGTATTTCTATTTTATACATATAATTTATTGCAATTTATGCGCATGAAATTGAGTCTACTGACAATACAATGCAATTTTAACCATTTCTTTCTGTTTAAATATAAACGAGTTTGATGCTCTTACAATGATTTTGAAAAATAGTGCACCAATTTTTAGTGGTATCTCAGAGTTGCCAGTCGAGTGCAAAGGGTTAATAGCATCAACTAGAATAATAAACGCGTGCTTCTCACTGATATTTTTCACCAAAACATTTCAAATACGTGTTAGTTTCGGACCCTAATTTAGACTATTTAATATATGCGAATTGTGGTATATATGCTAACGTGATGATACTTTTGTCTTGCAGACCATATCTACGGGAAGCCCGCAGGAGCACGCGAACGGGGAGGCGACCCATAACCACAACGGTTACCTCGCGCCGGCGAGCACCAGCGCCCATAACATCCTGAACCCCATGAATAATTTAAACGGTATCAATGCACAAACACCTTACGACACCAAATAACAAACGAAGTAAGCGCCGGCGCACCGATCGAACCGCGGATGTGTTGCCAAATACTTTTAGCGACGCGAAACCGTCTTCTCTGTCAACGCACTCGCAGCCGCGCCGAACACGCTCGGCGGCTCGCTCGTCGCCGCACGGAGTACTCGCGATCGAGGCTATTATCCAAAGAACTCGATGACGTCTCGAGATCGTGCGAACGGCGATACTCTGTGTAAAACTCGAACCTCGTGGAAACGCCACAAATTTCCTAGGCGTAAGGCGACGATCGTCGCAATCTTCGAGAAACGAACCGAACCGTCTCGCCGGTGACCGGCAGACCCTGTCTGCCCGCGGTTCAGCGACCTTTAAGGCTATACGAATCGAGCGCGTGAAACTATTGGTGCTGTTTAGTCGAAGTTTAATTGTTTGAATTTCGCAGGCTAAAGTAGACTCTAAAAATCAACCGATTCAGCTAGGAGGGGGGGATATAAAACGAGCCGAGCGTCAAGAGAAGCAAGGAGAGAGAGAGAGAGGGGGGAGGGAGAGAAATGCAGGATGAGGTTAGGCGCTCGCGAGGAAACAATGCGGGTAAACCGAATGCTCAGGGGTGATCAAAGTTTGGCCGTTCTTGTAGTCGACTTTGCTGTCCGTTGCGGGCTACGCCGGTAAATCTAGCTTTACCGGACTACCGGACCAACGGACTACCGGAGGTAGAACTCGAGGAATGGCCACAGGGTGAAATTGGTGAGCGAGGTCCGCCTGGCAGATCGAATCGGTAGCTGGCTCCGGCAACCAGCCAGCTCAGGCCAGCATCGCTACCCCTTGGGGCTCATACGTTAGGGGTGACTTAAGCATTGTTTCAACTTCGAATCTCCCGGTAGAAGCCCAGATTGATGTCGCGAACTTTTCCGTTGCCTTATTTGCGAGTCAGATAACGAGACTGTGAGTTATGCCGAAACTTCTCTCTCTGTCCTTCTCCGGAATTGGCCAGGCGCTATCAGCGGCGGCTGCGCTCCGCCGAGGAATCTTTTACTTCCTTTATGCCATACGCTCTGGACGATTTGTCGGCGGCACGCCTCTGGAAAGAGTTTTCCCGATCCCTCGAACAATAATAGGTTTACCTCTCCTTGCCGCGATCGTTCCATTGGCATCTCGTACGGCGAACGCGTCCTATACGACTCACCTTTGACCCGTTTGCATCGCAACCAATGATTAAACGTAACCACTTGGTCATCGATTGATTCTTAAAACGTTATTTGATTTGGTCGGTGCGTGCTTTGCAGTTATCGCACCGATAAAGTGTTTATCTTCCTTTATTTTGTGATTAACAGACGACGCAATGACTTCGAGCATTTCTTGACAAAATTGTTTCGACACGTTAAGTGCGTCCGCGATATCAAAGTCAATTAATTAATATAGTCGAAACTAAGTACTTAAAATTTGCCGTAACATTTATTAATTGAACTTTTTTGCATTACAAAAACTCTAGTTAAAAATTAGTGTGACCTCTGTGCGACCGGCGCGGCACTCAACGTGTTAATCCAGAAAAATGGAGCGTGTGTCTACGCTAATGATGCAAATGGGTTAACCTTCGGTCGTGCGCAATCGATCAAATTCATCGCACAAACGTTTTGATGTAACTTTGAAACATGGGACGGGCCATGTAAATTTTGACAAGCTATTTTCAGCGAACAATGGCTATCAAGCGCATTCTTTTAAACGAGTCATTGAATCAATTTTGTTTGCACTTCGTTATAATCTGCGGATTTATGCATTTATGGTTATCACATTTTAAACAGCCAAGACAACTCGTTAAAATGATTAAGAACAAAAATAAATGCCCGTGCAGCTCTAGCGTGTTGCAATCGTTATAGACAAATTTTATTTTGACTTAAAAATCTGCAAGCTGGTTATAACTCTTAAATTGTGTAGAGTTTAGAACTGAATCCAGTTCAACTAGATCCATCAAAAAAAAAAGAAAAAAGAAAAGTTAATAGATAACTTTAATAATAGAAACGAGGGGTTCTAGAGCAGTTATCCTACACTATGTGATCAACTCCCTTAACACTTTGACTGACACAATTTTTCCACGAAACTTGTAAATGAATTTTAATTACAATCTATTATTAAGTAAGCCAAACATTGTTAGGATCTACGAGATGTAAGCAGTTTACAAAAGCACTTGCTATAATAAATCATGTTTTGTCTCTAGTCTTGTATTATTAAATCGGTTATACTGACTTTGTGCGACGTTTCTGAACACCGGTGCGTGGCAGTCAACGTGTTAAAATTTAATTCAAAAATCGAATCGATATCTATCGCGGTTTCCGAGTGTACCGATTTGTCACATTATTTTATCTATACCGAAGGGTTTTGATCGAGAAAATGAAATCCAGTCTGTTAACGACTTCTGCGCCTTTTAAGTAAGCCTATGATCGTTCACAATGTCTATTGCCAAGTTTTTCTATCGAAACGTTCGTACATCTCGTTCGTATTTTTAGTACGAATTTCGAAATGGCCACGTCGTATTAGGTGTAACGAAATACTTCCACCAATACTCTGTAATGTTACGAGTAGTTCCTAAGCGTACGTTTACGTTAGAGCTGCGATAGAAACGGCGAGAGCGTCGATCAGCGCGACGACAAAAGCTGATTGTCCAGCAAGCTGCGCTCTGCTCGCAGCTTCGGTGTAAGCAGTTCCATTATAAAAAGAAAAAGAAACGATAGCACGTATCTCGTCGCTCTGATCGTTCGTTGCAGCTCCGCCATGAGCGTACCCTAACGCTAGACGTCTTCGTAATAAAAAGAAAATCGAAGGAACAGTCGAGAAAAGTAAAAAAAGTAAATTGTATCGTGTCGTACCGACTACTAACCGACTATCTAACCAAATAACTCGAATAGATTACGATTAGTAACCGACCATGGATGGCGATCACCGAGGCAATCGTACATTATTCGACGCGTTCCGATCGGCGAACGGTTCGCACTATAATCAAGCCGCTTATCTAATGGCAAAAACCGAATTCCGTCTCGCCTCGAATGCCGAATTACACGTGTACGATCCGTGTAAAAAAAAAAGAAAATGGAATGAGGGGAACGGTGAAGAAGACGCAGCATTGAACGGGAATACGCAAGGAAGTGTGTAAGTTCGCTAGTATAGATATGTTTTGTATCATAGTTCTATCATAGAAATATTAATTGAAATAAAATTACTGTTTCGATGTTACCCAATGTGTTTCGTTCTTTATTCACGACGGGGGGAGGGTGGCATCGATTACGTCGACGTTAGCCGCAAGCATAACGGCGTTATGCCAACGTAACGTCTTCGCATCCCCGTGCCGTGTCTCGAGATTTTCCCTACGTACCTCGCATCCTTCGCGCCTCCTCTGAATTATTTAACGCCGCTACGTGATTGGCCGACAAATCCGGCATGCCTCAATAATTTACCAATCATACACACGGTCCTTTGTGTTTTATGCGCCGCGTTACGAATAAATCGCATTGCGTATTCAGGAGAGCAACGATCCGACTGTATTCGAGCGTGAACGCGTGTGCCCCTCGGTGAACAAGACGGGTGAACGAAACAAAAAGAAAAAAAAACGGAGAAGATAACGGAGAAGAGGCTGGCAGTCTAGGATGGGAAATCGAAAGGGAGTGATTTCTACGGCTACACTCGAAATTTCGCCGAGGGCCGGAAGCGTCTGCCGCTTTCATAACGTAAATCGAAATATCCCCTTCTTGTTCCATTGGCGCGGGGGTATTTCTTAATCGCGTATGGATACTTCGGGGATAAGTTTCGATCGTAAAACGAGGAACACGATATCGCGTGGAGACAAATGATCTGGGAAGAATTTTTGAAATGCTATTTGAACACCTACACTGTGATAGGGATAAATAATTCACGTCGATTTTCGTCAACTTGAAATACGTTGCCGGGATCGTTATTTCGACAATTTCTTTTTGGTGTAATGATAAAAATTTATTCAATATGAACTAGGAATAGAAAGAAAATCAATTTTTATTTAACTCCTGTTTGTTGCAATTCAGCTGGAAAATGTTTATTTTGCATAAAGATCGCTTAGTTATGAAGCACATTTTTACACAAAAACTGTACACATCCAAACTTCCGTAAAAATAGTTAAAAAATTTGTCGTTGTAAAAATCTTCGATCTTCAAATCTATATGACAAGTTCGATTATGAAATTCAATTCGGGAAGAGATGTACTGCGAAAGTAGAGGCTTTAACCCTTTGCACTCGAGTGGTGACTCTGAGGCACCGTTAAAATTGTTATAGCATATTCCAAGATAATTTTTATATTAACAAAGTTTACATTTAAGAAATTGTTAAAAGTATAACTGTTGTACAAGTCACCGCAGGACTCAATTTCATATGCATAAAATGCACTTTGTCATATAAAATGGAAATACTATAAGTCAGAAAAATTATTTTAAGTTTCCGGTTAAAATAGCTTCGAGTGCAAAGGTTTAAGCTTTGAAATGAGTCCAGGTTGTTGTCGTATAATACCCTTGTCGAATTTTTTATATCGGTACAGAAAAATTCATTACGTAGGAAATGACTACAGAACTACAGGAACTACATATAGAACAAGATACCCTTGTTACATTGTAGGTAAAAATAAAATTAAATGGAGAAGATGATAGATCAATATGTAACTTCAAAGTGTCACTGAACTCTAGCTAACTCCCTGCCCTATAATAATGATTCAGACTCGTAGTGAACATTTCGTACAAAGAAAATTTGATTCTTCTATTATCAAAATCTAGGAATGAAACTAGATAAAAACATACAAGAAACAAAAATCGTCAAGTTCGGATTCGTCTACGGATTGATGATCGATTTTTTTTTTTTGAATTTTTAATCATTTTGGAAAATATGTATAATCAAAAGACGTACAAATTTATTATACAAACTCGATAGTTCAAATACAAATACAGTAATTTCTCCCTAATTCGCGCTCAGATTGGGCACAAAAATGGACAATTTGGAAAGAGGAGATACATTTATTCGAGCCTTGCGGCTCGATAATTATAAAAACGAGCCACAAGGCTCGAATAATTGTATCTCTTCTTCCCAAATTGTTCATTTTTGTGCACAATCTCAGCGTGAATTACGGGGAAATTACTGTAACTGCGATTTTGGCAATTTTCACAAAAATGAAAATGTCCGATCGTCAATGCCTTTGAAGCACTTTTTATACTTTTGCCCTAGGTAATCCCATTTGGCAAGAATCCTGTATACCGTCAAGCCATCTTTAAAAAAAAGGAATTCAGAGCAATGTCGTTTAAAATCTAGACAAACAGCATTCAAAACAAAATTAACATCGTTTTTTTATAGTTCATAGCATCGTAAAATAAGCCATAAAAACTTATATCAATCAATTGTTTGCTTCTCTTCTGCTGTTGTTTTAAAATATAAGTAAAAATAAATATAAGTACTCCTTAAGAACCAAAAACTGCTGATCACCGTAGTTGTGAACGAAATCGTAGAGCCAGGAATTAATCAAAACACTTGATAGCATTGTCATTAGAAAATCGGACAAGAACCTAGAATTATAATGCCGTTCTATGGTAAACATAGTTAGAACTCAATATAGAATTTAATATACACTTATATATTTCGCAATTAACAGTTTGGAGCAACGAGAAAGCGTTCGAGATACGAGACATTGTTGAAAAGCCTGATACTAAATACTGTTATCGGTGAAACTGTAGGTATAATGTAAGTCGAGGTAAGAGCGGTTCATGGTAACAGAATGCGAACCGATTTTGTAAGAGGAACCGCTTATCTACGATCGAACGTCTGGCCGGTAAGTAAACTAAGGCGGGAAACGCGCGGTGGAAAGAGCGCGCATTCGATGTAAATTGGCAATTTTTCTCGTGCGGCCCATGGTAATCATTGGCAATTAGACCATGGGGCCTCCGATAAATGTTATTTATAGCCGTGATTATCTGCGGCGCACCTAGTTGCTCGAAGGTTCGCCTAACTATGCACCCGCTTTCCTTCCCGCCGATTCCCCCTTCGCGTCGACGTCTAATTGGTCAGCGATTATTCCTGTTTGTACAAAATGTCGGTACAAGCGGCACTTTACCTTCGCCACAAATACAAGCAAATGTTTCTGCTGAACTACGTCTACCGATTTAATGCGTGTGAATACCTCGGACGCCTCGGAACGACTTCTGCTCAACGGGATTTCGTCACCTCGTTAGATTGGCGCGTTTAATTATGCCTGTCCATGACGGAGAAAAATGTTCTCATTTATTTCCATGAGGTCGTTCGTGATATTGATTCTTTCACGGTAAGTATGCTCATTGCATTGCCATCTATGCTTCAGTTTGCAGTAGCGACGCAAATGTAGCGACTCTTCAGAAATGTATTTTCCACGCTAATTACTTGTATTAACCAATTAACGCACGGTAACTTTTCGAAACTGTAAATCAATATTTAAACTTGAGGAGAAAATTCACGTCGATCTCCTCGCGGTAGAAACTCTTGTACACCCATAAAAAATGAAACTAAGTTACGAATTTAATCATGTTTATACGGTTTCAAACCATATACTACCAACTATATAATATGGTTTATTAATTTAGTATGCCTGTGCCATACACGAGCATGACCATTAAGAGATTTACATTCTGCGAAGTTATAATATCCTGTAGTGTTCCGTAAATTTTACTGGCAAGTTTCGTTTTAGCATTACGTCGATTAGTATCAACGTTGAAACGTTTGCGTCTGTTTCGAACATCCTAATAATATATTCCTAAACAGGAATATATTAGGTCTACCGGAAAGAGAGTTCTGTCAAGTTTCAATTCATATGCACATGTTGATTTGAGACATATATGACTATCTCTCTTTATCATTGCATTTACATACATGTACTCTCCCCTAAATAAACTGAAACAAAGATGTCTCATGTCATTATTAAGTGAGACGCGATCGTGAAAACATGACTACCGATGATAATGCCAGACCACATGCTGCTTTGGCGACTCGTCAAAATATCGCAGAGCTAGGCTGGGAAATTCTGTCACATCCACAATACTCCCCAGACCTAGCACCCTCCGATTATTACTTGTTTCTCTCTTTACAAACCTTTTTACAGGAAAAAAATTCAAAACTGAAGCTGATGTCAACCAAGCACTAGTTGAGTTCTTCGCCTCTAAAAATAAATCATTTTTTAAAACTGACATTTACAAGTTGCCATTACGCTGGCAAGAAGTCATAAGTAACGATGGAAAGTATATTCTACAATAAATATTATTAAATGTATGAAAATTGTGTTATATTTCAATTCAAAAACGGACAGAACTTTCCGGTAGGTCTAATATAAAATTTCTTTAACTCTTCGGCATCTCTCAAGGTACACAAGATTACTGGTAATTATAAAAGATTATAGATATAATACGACTCTCACGCCAATTTCTGATTACGCTATTTCCAACGCTACATTATTTCATATTTTATTTAAAAATCATTTTCTAACAGAGTTCGTGTCAGATCCCTTGAGAATACTCTCCGAGTGCGAAGAATTAATCATCCGCCATAATTTATAGCAACTCTTTCATGAAAAAGAAAATTCGACGAAACTATTGTGATTTCGTAGTTGCTGCCAGCTAATATATCGAACGATTTAACAGACAACATTTATAATATGTTAGCGTATAGTTCGAGCTGGCTGTGTAAAATAATATCGATAATTTTTGTACGGCGACGACGACGCACGATACCGGTAATCGTTTCTCCAGTTCTATTTTCCCGCGATAAAGCACGGATGAGAACGTATTCAGAGACGAGCGGCCGAAAAATAAGGGGAAAAGAAAAAAGCCCCGTATTCCATCCGTTGGACGTGATTAAAAGGGAAGAACGAACGCATCACGCTCCTCGCGATCCTTGAAACAATATTATTATTAAAAGCTGTGCGCGGCCCGGTGATCCACGTGAGTCCACGGAATGGCGAAAAGAGTGGACAGGACACGCGGTCGCTGCAGACTGCAGAGAAGGCCGCGGGGGCGGTCGCGGGGCCGAGCGGGGCTGGGACGGGTCCGGCGACAGAAGAGCGATTAATTAAAAGAGCAAAAACTGTTTTCATAAAATTCATTTGCGGAAATATGCGCCGACTGAAATAATATCCGGCCGATGAGCGCGCGTGTCCCAGCTTGAAGCGGCGTTCACGGGGACGCGTTGCTCGAGTGAAAAAGCGA